TTGCACTTGAACCGAGGCTTTATGCACACCATCGTCATCATCATGATCATCGTCCCTGTTGTTGCTGCTTACGTGCATGCAAGCGCGCACTTTTTGCAGACTCTCGTTACGGAGTTCGGAGAAATGGCATTTTTAGGGTAACGAGGTAGCACGGGATTTTTTGCTCTTCCTCTTTAGAATGCGCCCGTGTGCTCTGGCAACTTATCTATTGTGCGACAGTCGTTCCGAAACATCTATATAAGAGCAGGCCTTGCTGCTTAATTTCAAGACGTCGCTGCCTTTGCGGCTGAGAAAGTTTTCCAACACGTATGCTTTTACTCGCCAGACTTTAATAGAGACTCTTTGGTAAAGTGACGTCTGATGAGAAAATTGTGCCCTTACTTATCCTTCAGTTTTTTCATTCGGCTTTCGTACACCTAATACGATTCACGCTGTCACGCAAAAAGTCTACTGCTTGATTTTTTGTCGGCAAGGATGTTGGCTCCCTCTTTGAGGATGATTGTTAATTCATTAGATCTTTTTTATTATTAGAGTAAATAATATTTTTCCCGTGATGGATGTGAATAATGTAAATAGGCTTTCTATCAATTTTAATGATAATAAAAGTATAATTTTGCAGGAAATAATTTCGGAGCTACCGACAGTGGTGAACGCATATAATCTGCTACGAAGCACATACAAGATACGTCACTCCATTTTATAATCTTAGCTCTTTGTATAAAAACATATAGTAAACATACATTAGTTATCTCATCTTTTGAGTGTCAAAATCAATAGAGAACCCAAAACGCATCTTTTAAAAGAAATAAAAATGGAATGAGCATCAGTGGGTGAAAGAAAAAGTCAGAGAGCGAAATGAAAATATCCATGTGGTGTGCGGTGCAGTGCGTCTAGTTTATAGGTCACAGTTAAAGACACGGTTTATGTCTCGCGATTGTGCAATCCTGAGATTTGATTCTACAATCAGTTTTTTTCTGGGTCGTACCAATGATACGGTAATTATTTTACGAGCTTGGAGATTCTGCTACTATATAGCGGTTCGTGTTTTAATAGCCAAACAAAAGAGCGGTAATCTACGATTTCTTATTTAACTCCTGCTATGTGTTAATGGCGTGCTTATTGAATATTTCGTTTTAATGGTGACTAAAATTTTTATGACTATCAAAGTCAAAATTAATTTAAATTAATTTAATTTAAATTCGTTCTCTGCTGCTGTTTGCATACTTAATTTTCGAGTAGATGGTACAACGTGAAAGTTTCGGATTCTCGTGCTTTGTTCATCAACAGGATTAAGATTTATTACAAAAGTTAAGCGCTAGTTTATGAATTCGTTAACTTGTTTGTTGGATGAAAACAGTACCTGTTCTCCAAAATTACTTCATACTGTGACAAACGAATCCTGATACTCGCATTTCTTTTGCAACAATAAATCGTGGTCAACGTACTTCATTCTATTCATTGAAATCAAAGATTTTACAACCATACTTCTAACTCATCTTGCAATTACCGTACGGTCAATTTAAAGTAAGTGAAAGACCAACGGAAGCATGTACCATAACGATAAGTCAAAATTGCACAGTAGTATAGGTACACGTTTGGTCAGACGGAATTCCCTTGCTACAAGCGCTTGTAGAAAAAGAATCGTGTCAAAAGGGCCTGACTCAAGTTAAACAGAATAGTTCTAATTAATGAGCATCAATATTGACTCAGTTCCATCAAAGTTGCGCAACGGCACTGATGACATGGTTGAATTTGTTCCTAGTTTTGTTGACGCCCCAGCTTTGCGTGTTTCGGCAAAAGCGGGTCATTACGGCGTCTTGCATTTCATTCGATATTTAGCACCCGAACCTGAACTAACTGCAGCGCATACACTTCGATGCGATATCCGGATGGTGGACAAACATAGCCACGTCTCAGGACTCCCAACCCGAAACCACTGCTCTAACTTTGACGCAACTATCGTCTCTAGAAATTGTAATAGCGAGCGTGGCTCTGTATTTTTTTTATCAAAGTACCTTCCTTGCTGCCCCTGAAAAGGACGATGACGGAAGGATATGACAGTGAAGTTTAGTACACGGTCTAGTGGATGCACGAACAGCTGATCAAACTATCGTTGAGGGGTGTGGGGGGGTGAACGGTGTTATACGTGCGCACAAAGGATGTATGCACTTTACTATGGGTGAGTGGTGAACGACACTACAGATTCAGGGTAGAAGCAACAGCAATGGTTGTAGTAATGGAGCTTGGAGCACTATTGTCGCGCAGTACTCACGTCGAGGCAAACACGAAAGTAGCAAGTTTTAACTGTTTGAAGTACGGGCTTTCGTTGGTGTATGGCAGTTTCTGTTCGGGTGTAGTGATCTGAATTACTGGGCACAGCAACTTTTAAGGCCTTACTTTTCGAGAGTCAAGAGAGGAAGGAAGAGGAGGAAGAAAGGTGTTTGGTAAACGTCAGCGGGTCATGCACTACTGAGTGTGCATAGAAACAGAGGCTTCAAGTGGAAGAAGAGGGAAAAAGGTCTTTGAGCTAAACACGCGTACCGGTAAATTATGCAATAGTTGCCGGAACCAAAGGAAGCTCGAAATTTTTTTTCATCAGTGCTATACTGGTGTATCACTTTGAACACCAAAGTTGAAAGCTGCCGCTGCTGCTAATGTTGATGCTGCGCTTGAGCGTGGAGCACAAGCTCCCCGATGGTGAAGGCCGAAACTTTTTGAGACTTTGAATTAATTTTCGAGCAGAAAAAAAAATTTGAAGTAAAAATACACTCGTCTAAGATAAGAGATTATTTTAAAAAAAAATCGCTACGATGGGGCTTTGTCGATTTAATTTTTAGCGTGTGGAAAGAAGTTATCGCTTTGTAGGTTGTATTAGTAACAGTGTCACGATGCTATGGAGCATGGTTCATTTGTCAGGATAAATGTTTTGATATCATGTTGATTTTTATTTAAGACACGACAAATTAAACGGATCCGTGCATATAAGGACACTAATAGATATGACCAGAAAAAGTAACAAAAAAGAACTATATGCCTAATAGTACTAGGTTATTAATTTGCAATCTATAATTTTAAACAAGTGAAGCTTAAATTAAAAAGCATCTTTTAATACGTACCCTTTTTTTTTTTTTTACGCAACCAGATTATTGTAAGTCACTTAATGTGAATAAAACTTTTGTAATATACGAACAAAAATTGACCCAACAAAAGATATGCATTTTAAATTTAACCGTGCATTCAGACATTCAGAAACTTTACTATTATAATGAAATCAGGGCTGCACAAGCTTTACTGGATTTTTTTCTCAATAAAAATATCACTTTTGTTGGCATATTTATATTATTTGGATTTATTTAAGCACAAATATTATTTTTATTTATTTACAATCTACTGTATTTAAAGTAAAATTTCTACGTACTCGTTCTAGTTAGTATTCATTATAATCCTTTGCTTGTACTTTTTCATGTTTCAAATAGCACGAAATTTAGAGTTTACCATAATTACACAGAATTATCAAACATCTACGTTTATGCTCCATTACTCAATTGATTTAAGTTATGCTGAACAATGACACGTCAGTAACAACTATTGACAATGACAATAATCGACATATTCCCTCATTGCTAATATTATTTAACCGTCACATCAACGGTCGATCAACGCCATTCAAACTTTATATTTGATAAAACAAGTGAATGCATAATTCTCACGAAGAAATGACGAAAAACGGGAATTCCGGCTTTTACGATAGCCATTTTATCCAGGCTCGGGCGCTAATTTACGGCCACTAGCGGAAAAAGAAGTCAAGAGCACACGAAGCAGGCTCGTACCCTACTTCCTCGGCGATTTAGTGCTTTCGGGACGTAAACGATATAACCTCCAATGCTCAACGGTTGAGTACACGAGAGATCACAGCCGATGCTCCTGCAGTAAACACAAGGTGGTAAACAGGTACTGCTCGAAAAAAGCTCGGAACCTTCATAAACCCCCTCAGTGCCGTTATTTTCGATTTGCTCGTGAATAATTCGAAGAGCGGGTAAAAGCTCGCTTCCCATTTCGAGCGTTATTCAAGCGCCTTGTACAGCCTGGGGCAATTTGCACGCACAACTACTCGAACGCAATAACTACAATCGACATGTCGTGAAAAATCCAGCACACGCACTTCCGTTTCCTGCTACCCTTCGTAAACACCCACCCACTCACTCGTGCACTCCGAGCGTCTATCCTTCGAAAGAAATCCTATTTTGTTTGGACTCACAGGCGTATACGCGTCTCTTTGCTCTTGCTTCCTATCTCTTTTCACTCTGAGTGGTAACAGTAAAAGCGCGCGAATTTTGCGAGCAAATAGATGCGTGGAATAAGTACCTAAGTGTGTGCGAGTGCGCACTTATTCCCGTTGATGAACTGTCGAGTGGCACTTGTGTGAGCTTAAACAAATATTGTTTTCCACAGGCTGTCTGACTGTTCTCCGTCTTAGGGTCGTTTGAAGTGCGCCGACTATTTCATTTCGAGTCAAGGAATTTAATGAAACTCTTTGAACGAGTGTGTGCGGCACGTTAGAGACGCTTCAGACGTACTTCATTGGAATTTTGTACAAAGTTGAGTTTTCTTTGTACGAATCGACAAAGAGATCTGGTTTAATTTTCAAATACCTTACATTATATAAGAGGCTTAGTTTGGCCAGTAAGATACACTTAAATTTACAGTATAAATAATATACATTCAATCAAATGACATGCATTTCAATTCACTTCTGTTGTTATGTCATTTTGCACGATATTCTAGTCAAAGTGCGATAAAATAAAAAAAAAATCGTCCACTAAGGAAATAAACGTTGACATTAGGCAGATACAACAGACACAAATCTCACAAAAAACAGCTACTTATATTCTTACAATCCAAGTACACAAAAAATAAAAGATAAAACCTGATATCTCAGAAATAGAGAGCACAGTTCAAGAGATGAATGAAAAATACGTAGTGTAAGAACAACAGCTCACCGGAATTGGGCAAAATAGTGTCGGTGAGCGCGAGTCCGGCGAAAGAAGCCAGGGCAACTAGCAGGTTGAAAAGCGCGTTCGAGCGCCTCGCGGCGCTGGGGGTGAAGGTGCACTTGCCGATCATCGCGGTACTACGATAGCTACGCGAGAAGCTACTGCTGACGGGCGCGGTGGTGATAACGCAACGAGACCCGGCATCCCGACTGACGAAGTGCAGCTCCACGAGCCTGCCTGCCTAGTATCCCCCGCCACTTCTCTACTCCCTCGAGCCGCTGACCGGCGCGCGCAATCGCACTCGCGCCTTTTGTCCCTGTCGACCCTGTCGCTGAGCTACGATGTAACTGAATCCTGTATGAGTAATACACACAAGGGGTTTGATAGCTTTTCTTGGCTAGAATCGTATTTCTTTTGTTTACTTAATTTTTTAGAAGAGGATAAGATGAAGCACGGGTGTGAGCTTGGTGGTTGATTTTTTCGATCCCTTGTAGAAGGATCGTTGCAATTGTAAAAAATTCAATTTTATATCTTGTCTATCTAACTAATAGTTTTTTTCCCTTTTTCAATCACAGTACATGCAATACTCTTTCAATAATATTCTTCTACATGTGAGTGTATGTGTATAATTATTTTAAATGAAATATTTTAATTAAATTATACATGTTTATTAAATTAGTTTTGTGGAAAAAACCTCTAGTAGTTTTATCAAAATAAAATTTTTTTGATATTAAAATGGTATTGGAAATTCACTTCTCATAATTCGATTTTTCACGATGTACGTATAATAAAATTATACAAATTTTTTAGAATTTTATCTCATATCGATTTTTAAGGTTAGTACTGTTAAACTTATATTGCATAAAATTTACATACATGAACGGGGAATCGATATAAAAAAAAACTTTCAATATCAACTGTCCGTATGCACCTTTTAGAAAAACAAGAGCTAAAGCCTCTGTTGACTGATCATCGAGAAGTGAATATCTAAATATTCTCGAGAGCTGACATTTCTACTTATCATTAAAAATAAAATGAAATGGTTATTTCTTCAAGTATCACAAGAAAGCGATGCATTCTAGAGCAGCGTAGCGTACACATTCCTATTTAGATAAGATCTCAAGACCTCGACGATCTCCTTGATAATAGATTTTCATGCTAATGGCAATGGGACAAGGGGGAAGAGTAATATTCCACCTCACAGCTAAGTGCAAGGAGCTCTTAAACTTTTCAGCATTCCAGCTCGGAGCGGTTTGTGTACTTCTAACGAGCCTAGCCAAGATCTAAACACTACGCCGAAATTTGATTTCACGCTGACAGTCGAGCTTGAGGTCCCCGTAGACTAATCTCCCTCTTATCTCGTATCAATGAGCCGAGATTAATTATCGCTTGAACGAGAAACACCTGTGGAGTGCTTTTTGACATCCCCTTCCCTGCTTTCATCCTAGCTTTTCTTTGGTTCACTACCTTGATCTTTTAACGCCATCTTCGACGTGGGTTGCCGACGTCTTAATTTATCGCCATAGGCTAAACCCTAGAAAATAAGAAAGAACAGAGGTAGTCAAAAAAAGAAAAAGTACACGGAGTCGCGACAAAGAGGAAAGTTGTTGGATGAAAAAACTGACGTCCATGAAATAGGGGAGGGGGGGGGCAATAAGGCCATAAAAAAATGAACGAAGCGAGTCAAGAGCTTAAGAGTTTTATTTGAAGAATGACAGCGAGAGTCAGGTCCCCCTGCCGTCTCTTTCTCGCTCTCTGTCATTCTTTTTCAGTTTCCGTGGCACTTTGCAGGCGTCTTATTTGTATTAGAGCCACGCGAGTGGCATGCAGTCACGGTCTGAGAAATCCCGGGACCTCCGTCACACGCTGCTCTGATTGGAATTTAGTGCTTTGGAGACGTGAGCTTGCCTCCGCGATTTTTTCTGTTCCCTCTGCCATCCCACCTCGTTTTCTCTATTGTTTCGTTCGTTTCTCTGCTTCATTGGTTTTCTACATTATTCTTGCCACTTGATGCTCGACAGGCGTATTATCGAGAAATTACTTTCTGACGCTGCATTGGCGTCGCACTGAACGGTTAAAATAAATGTCATTAGACAATTTTTTTCAATTATCTGTACGCATACGAAAACCTATATCTGATTTTTTTTATTTCAATTTTCAATTAGTTAAATATATGAAGTTTATAAGGTTTTTGAAACATAAATTTAAATCCTTTAGTTCTTTTCATCACACCTTTCATACTCTAATTCAATCGTAAAAAATATAGTAATGTTTCGAAATTCCACCACGTCATTTAATAAAACAAAAACAATCGCTTCCAGTAAATACTTTTGTACTTTAATTCTTTATTGGCGTTCTTAATTTAAACTGCAATGAAAAAAATAGCCATGGAAGCCCCTTGTCAAACCCATCCACTTTATGGTACCGATCTCGTACACAATTCACTTGTCGAGCGATAAAACTTCATTTCAATTTCAATCAACATCGAATATAACTACTCTCTACCCAACAACGAGCACACCATGTGTATATCACGTATTGTATACCTACGTGTATTGCACATCATCAGCAAAAGACATGCGAGCCCCGAGGAATGAGTACACCTGCAGTTGCACGTGTGGTTGTTTTTTATCCTCGCCCCTTTCCCTCCCTCTCTCTCTCTCTCTCTCTGCTTTCTTTCAATTATTTTCTTTTTTCCAACAGAAGCCCAGCAACAGTACTACACCGCCACCAGCTGCTCTCTATATTTCGCTTGCCCATTGTTTTTCTCGTTTGTGACGTTAATTGTCCGATCGATGCGTTTTTCAGCCAGCTCTGGTTCGACCCTCAGCTCGTATTCTTTTCGCTCTGCGCGCACATATACACGTGTATACCTACAAAAGCGACAAACGAGAGAGGAAAGGAAACGTCCAGGGGCCGGTTCCAAGCATCTGTAGATATACACATACCGTAATGTGCGAAAAACTCCAAGAGGTGGGGGGAGAGGGAAAAGGGGGTAGTAGGGGTCGGGGTAGCTGCTGCCAGGCATCCATAACATTTTTCATGCGCCATAGAGCCAGCCGGAGCCGCTCGACCATGCGATTCGGCAATTATTTTTTATTCCTCTTTACTCTTTCGACATTTGTTACAACTGCGTGCCCCGCTCTCCGTTCCCATCCATTCTATATATACATATATGTGCTCTACCTGGCGTTAGCGAGCAAACGGTGCGCTTGCACGTCCGCATAAATTTTTTGATTTCATTAAACGTGCGTACGCATGAGGATTCCAGTGCTCATGGCTCACTTCGTTCTATTGGAGCCACTGCCGTTTGGCCTCTAGGCAGAATTCGCGCTGAATTTTTTTCAACTGCGTATACGGGGGATTGATAATCTGGTGTAATAATAAAGAATAGAAAAAAAAGAGTTCACATTTTTTTTTGCTTCGTTATCGTGAGCTGCTTTTGGCGTTTCAGATAATGAATGTATTTTTATTCAAGCGAGCTTTGTTTCGCGCATTTTTTCTTGATTTAAAAAAGTTAATGGAAGATCACGGGATCTCCGTATCCAAGTTTTTTTATAATTATCTTACGTTTCTCGACTGTAAAGTGTAAAAAACACTTTTCGACGAGAGATAGATGCATTTTGGTACGAAAACTAATATTTGTACATGTTTTTTCGTGCACAATTGAAAAACAATGTGTTTATCATTCAAGATAAAAGTGCAAGGCATCTGTATCAATTTATCAATTAGACTAATTGACCTGCTCTTGCATCGATATTAATCAAATATTTATCATCATCTCTGTGACAAATAAAATTGACTCGTATCCGTGCACTCGTAATGAATTAACAATCATTACGTGCACTCATATCCCATGACGTCGACAACGTACCGTAGAACAGCAAACGGTACACGATAGTATACACAGCACGGACAAACATGGCTTATTAATTAACGAAACACTCCCACTTCCAAAACTGCTTCATTTGTCCGACTTATTACTTGGATAATTTTGTCGATGATAACCCGAAAAACCAAACACACGAAGCATCAGACGATATTTAATCGCCAGTGAACAGAGGACGCCTGGCGTGAAAATTGCCGATAACAGCTCGGCCAAAATATTGCCAAACAAAATCATCACCGCGCCCTGCCGCATTTGAAAGCAATATGCACCATGAACGGAGAACGACGCAGGAATTATACAATGACGTTCATCAGGTAGGCTTCACGCGAGCTTTCAAGGAAGGGAGTTGTCCAATGGACGTGATTAATAAACTCGGCCACGGCCATATCCGTGTGAAATATGACTTTCGATACTCAGCTGAGGCTTTGATTGTTTATTTAGCGAGTGACCGACTGGGCCGTGGATTAATAAATCATCCTAAGCATGATTGATGCAGCCCTACCATTTATCATAACGATTCCCTTTGCATATATCACTGCACGGATCTGCGCACTTGTTCGCTTCGTCAACTGAACGAGCATGTGGGAAAAAGCGATGGCAGCGAACAAATGCGGCAAGGGGTGATATTTTTTTTTGCCGTTGGCTCCAACTAAACCGGCGATTTGCAGTTTATTTTGCTTGGGCTCCCGGTGGTTTTTTATTTTCCGCTGGACTCTCGAATGCGCTCGAGCTATCTATTTTCCAGGCTCTGGCGGCCATTTTTAATAGATCGTGGCTATCAATTATCCACTACAACTGGCTGGCACTGCAAGTTGCGTGCCCGTCACGGATCACATTCGGGTGTACACGTGGCAAGTGAGATCGTCATTCTGGAATAACTTTTAAACCGATCGGATATACAATAAATTAAAATAATTACTCTAGATTAGGAATAGCGATGAGAAAAAAAACAGGGCTATATACTATATAATAGGTGCTACATTATACGTGACAAGTGCTTAGAGCAAACAAGACTTAGCACCGCTGCGCGCATCCATCAGCATCGATCATAGCCCGGCCGCCTCAAAAATTCGCACGTTAACTTAATCGTTCGATACTCGGGTCCTACAAACAATTCTGAAATTTCGAACGCCACGCGTGAACCATTAATCGGTCAAGCCCCTAGGCTTTGTCTCTTGGCAATAATGTAGATCACAAATTGCGCGCCCAGCACTGCAAGACTCGGTAGGAGGGAGCGAGAACTACCCCCCAGAACAAGCCGATCGGGGGAACGGCTGGGAGAACGTGTCACGCCCGTCGCAATAT